GAGAGGAGAAAGAAAGGGAGAGGGAGAGGAGAGCGAGAGAGAGAGTGAGAGAGTCCAAGCATTTTTTTTTTTTTTTTTTTTTTTTTGCAGCGAGCACCAGCCGTGAATTCGCGAACGCCTTTCCACCAAATCGCAACAGACCGGACATAGGTAGGATGCGCCAACCCCCCTCCCCTCCCTCTCCCCCTCAGCCCATCCCTCTCCTACCCACCTTCATGCGCTTTCCCCGTGACATCATGAACGGTTAAGAACAGCGATAGGATGCCAGGATGCCACTCCCCGGGCGTCACGGCCACGGTGCCACGGAGGCACGGGTGCCGCACCGGAGCCACTCCTTCCCTCCCGCCCCTCCCCTCCTTTGCCCTTCCTCTCCCTCCTTCCCTTCCCTTGGCCTTCTCCCTTCCTCCCCTCTCGCCTATCCTCTTCCACCATTCCCCTCACCCTCCTCCCCTACCCCTTGGCCCTCTCCCCGCCCGACCCCCGGGGGCAACCAGTGCCATCTCTCTCCCGTGTTAAACCTCTCCTTAAGACGTTTACGAGGCGCAGGATCAAGAGGCGGGGGGGGGGGTATTGTTGTCGGGAGAGCCTGGGTGTTTAGGGAAGGGGAGAGGAGAGAGGGGGCAGGGAGAGAGAAGGGGAGAGGGAGAGGGAGGGGAGAGGAGAAGAGGAGAGGGGGAGGAGGGAAAGGGAAAGGGAAGGGAAAGGGAAAGGGAGGGAGGTGAGGGGAGGGGGGGGGAGAGGAAGAGGGAGGGAAGATGAGGAGGGACAGGGAGAGGGAGAGTAAAGGAGAGGTGGAAAAGGAGTGAAGGGAGGGGAAGTCGGATGGAGAGGATGGAAGAGAGAAGGAAAGAGGAGAGTGGAGGGGAGGGTAGGGGATGGTTGGCGGCTGAAGCTGGGGAGAATGGAGAGGAGGGAGAGGGAGAGCGGGGCGGGATTCTTGTTTGATTCAACCCCACTAAAGAGGGACACTTCACAGGGTCGAGGGACTGGGGTTTTATACGGGGGGGGGGGGGGGAGAAGGGCGAGGATCTGGATGGAGGCTTCGGCTGCTCTCGAGGATTTGGGGGGGGGGGAGGAGGAGAGGGATTTGCCTTGCCGGAAGCGCCGATGGAGTGGCGGGCGGTTTGGGAGGGACGGGGGGGGGAGAGGGAGAGGGAGGAGGGGAGGGGGGGGGTTAGGGGAGAGGGAGGAGGGGAGGGGGGGGAGTGAGGAGAGAGGGAAAGTGGGAGGAGTTGGAGTGAGGGAAGAGGAGGGTTGAAGAGAGGAAGAGTGAGGATTGGAAGAGAAGGAAGAAGAAGAGAAGGAAGGTCGAGGAGGGGGGGGCGGGGGGAGTCGATTGCTGAGAGAGGCTTTGGTCTGTTTCCGGTTGCCTTAAGGACAGCGATTGGATAGAGTTTACTTTGGGGGGATTAGTCTATGGAAATTAGGGATATAAATACACGCGCCTCTCCTCTCTCTCTCTCTCTCTCTCTCTCTCTCTCTCTCTCTCTCTCTCTCTCTCTCTCTCCTTTCTCTCTCTCTCTCTCCTCTCTCTCTCTCTCTTCTCTCTCTTTTTTTTCTTTTTTTTATCCACACCGAAAGGCTTTCATTAACATTTAACGCTGAATGACTGCAAGAGAACGACCACCGCGCACTAACAAAGAGCCAAGCTATACAAGTTCACAGGCCCGACAAAGGCCTAACTATCCTGATTATACCCCCCCCCTCTCTCTCCCCTTCCCCCCTTCCCTCCGCCGCCTTTCCCCTTCCTCCCCGCCTCCCCCCTTCCTCCCCCTTCCTCGCCCCTTCCTTCGCCCCCCCCTCCGAAACAGAGAGCTGAGCCAAACCAGGCCCGCCCGCGTGAGAACAGCGTAGCGTGCGGGCGTAAAGAGAACCCCTCCACGCCTGTACCGGGGCATGTCCCTACGATGTTTATTTTTCGAGAGTCGCCCGACCCGTGTCCACACACGCTTGCCTCTTTCGGTGCGTTGCGGTGGCCTTCTGGGGCGGTGGTCTGAGGGAAGGGGGAAGGCGGTGAGGGAGGGGAGGGAAGAGGGGAGGGGAGGGGAGGGGAGGGAAGGGGAGGGAGGGAGAAGGGAGGATAGGGGGGGGAAGGGAGGATAGGGGAGGGATAGGGAAGGGAAGGGAAGGGAAGGGAGGGGAGGGGAGGGAGGGGAGGGAGAGGAGGGAGGGGAAGGAAGAAGGGAGAGGGAAGGGGAGGGGAGGGAAAGGCGAACAAAAAGGAAGGGATGGCGAGGAAGAGTAAGTAAAGGGAAGAGAAGGGGAATGGAAGGGAGGGGAGGGAGAAAAAAAGGAAAGGAAAAGTACGGGAGTGCAGGAGATGGAAGAAGAAGAAAAACATTTTACGAAGCGAGGGCGAGCACTGAGATGGCGACGGACTTTGGAAGGTGGGCGATAAGGGTTCGGGTGCCGCAAATGCCCGGCGGAATAGGAGGAAGGGAGTTGGATCCTTCTTCGGAATTGTGTTATAGGAAGGGTTTTCTACGGCGGAAAAAGGGGTTCCGTCGTCGTGGTTTTTATGACGGAGATAATAAGCGTTTTACAACACACCGTCTCTCGGTCGGATTTGCCGCGACGTCTTCCAAGGCGACGTAATCTCTGCATCTCTCCTTATCGTTGCTGGTCGAGTGTTTTCAAAGCCGTGATTTTTTTTTCTGGCAACGCTGACGTCTTGGAACACATGTCCACACAGAAACGTACGTGCATGCTTACGCACACTCTAAACACGCGCAACACACACGCACACGCACACAACACACACACACACACACACACACACACACACACACCACACACACACACACACACACACACACACACACACACAACACACATCACACACACACACACACACACTTAACTTAATTTTTATCCCACGCGCTCTCTCTCTCTCTCTCTCTCTCGTCTCTCTCTCTCTCTCTCTCTCTCTCTCTCTCTCTCTCTCTCTCTCTCTTCTCTCTCTCTCTCTCTCTCTCTCATCGTTGTATTAATAGCCCCATGCTAATCGCCGCAGCTGTTTGCCAGGAGCACGGAAGAAAAGGTCTGCGTCATAAGATGGAGATAATCGGGCGTCTCGGAGGCTGCGATCGGGCGGGGGTTTCGGGCGTTGCGGTAGCGGGACACGGGCGTAGATGGCTTCTTTTTATTACGGGCGCGCGGAGTCTGTTTAGGGGAGGCTGGGGAAGGGGGGGGGTGGGAGGGTCCGCGATTTTAAGATGTTTTTTTTTGTACGTTGTTGGGTATTGGTGTGTAAATGTTTATTTATTGTTTGTTTGTGTTGTTTATGTGCGTTATGTATGCACACACACAAATATATATTATAATATATAGTATATATTATATATATATATATATAAGAGGTTGCTTAATTGTCCCATTACATTCCCTCTGCCTAGTTTTTAAAATGTTTCCACGGGCTCTCAGCAAACTTCTCTTCCCAATGGCCCCAATTAAAACGGATTAATTGTGCTATGGCCGGATTGGAGAGAGTAAGGTCGTAATTAAGGCTGATTTAGCTTCGTCCGAGATAACGGCCTTACCTCTTTCTCTCAACCCTTCCCTCCCCTTCCTACCCTTACCCCTCCCCATCCCTGCCTCATCTCTCCCCCTGCCCTCCCCTCCACCTTCCCCTGCCCCTACTCCTCCCCTCACATGGCCTTTCCTCCTCCCCTTTCCCCTCCCTCTCCTCCTTCCCCTCCCGCTTCCCCTCTCCTCTCGCACTCCCCCTGCCCTCCCTTGCGCACGTGATTTCGGTGAGTGGGAGCCATTGAGAATTGAGGGAGTTGGGGAAGTAATCCAGTAATCGCACTTGTAATGTCTTCGCTTTTTTCTCTCTCCTCTACCTGCGTCCTTCTCTCTCCTTTTTCTCTTTCTCTTCTTTCTTTTTACTCTACCATTTCCTATATCTTCTCCTTTTCCTCTCCCTCTTGTTCATTCTCTTCCTTTTCCTCTCTCTCTTCCTCCTCCTCCATCGTTTTTTCTCCCTCTTCCTCCTCCTCGTCCTTTTCCTTTCCCTTCCTCTCCCCTCTTCCTCTTCTTCATCCTTCTCATGTTCTTGACCCGCTTGTGACCTCGGTCAGGTCATTCCTGGCGGAAATGATCTTGTAAGGGAGATGTTTGGGTTATGGGGCTCTAATTAGCCTATGCTCTCTCTCTGTCTCTGTCTGTCTCTCTCTCTCTCTCTCTCTCTCTCTCTCCTCTCTCTCTCTCTCTCTCTCTCTCCACTCTCTCTCTCTCTCTCTCTCTCTCTCTCTCGGTCTCTCTCTCTCTCTCTCTCTCTCTCTCTCTCTCTCTCTTCTCTCTCTCTCTCTCTCTCTCTCTCTTCCCTCCCTCCTCCCTCCCTCCCTCCCTCCCTTCTCTCTCCCCAGTGGTCACTAGTCTGACATCACTCTCCCGGCGAGCGGTGCCATGACGTCATGCCCTCTGGCACTTTGGCACCCTCTCCCCTCCCCTCTCCACCCCTCCCCCTCCCCACCTTGTTTACCTGCATCTGGACATCGTCATTGTGAGAAAGAGGAAGAATTTGTGGCTAAATCACCTTTGCGATTTTTGTATGCATTTTTCCCTTGGTTATTTGTTTTTTCTTCGTCTGTTTTTTTTTTTCTTTTCTTTTTTAATGCCCTTGTTGACGTTTGACTCAGTTCACTCGGACGAGAGTGTGGGGGTAGGGGGGTAGGAGGGGCAGGAGGGGGAAGGGGGATAGTGGTATTGGTTCGTCTATAGTGATGACTCCTACACCTTGGCACGGTGCCAAGTGGCTCTACCAGAATAGGGGAACTGCCCTTCACGGCCCACACCTGAGGTCCGCTTTGTGCCCCGCGGCCGTCGTCGGGGCATCGCAGTTGCCCGCGTCGTTCAGGTTCGGGAACAATGGAAACGTGTTATTAAGTATGTATGCGTGTGTTTTTCCTTGCCTTGTTTGCGCCCGTGGGTTGAGGGGATTTGGGGGGAGGGAATGGGCGGTGCCTTTATGTTGTTTCGGGGCGGGAGGGGGAGTTAGTGCCAAGTGTATGCCAGGCTGTGACACTGGCGACGAGGGGTGCCAGTGTTGTGGCAGCCAGGTCGGGGAGAAGCACGGCCGCTCTCGGAGGGGGAGGCGCCACTGAGGCTTCGCGTTGGACTCTTTGCGCTCGTTCCTTCCCGTGTTGTGCGCGGCAGTGAAGTGAGAGAAAGAAAAAGGAATAACTAGAGAGGCAAGGAGAGGGAAGGAAAAGGAGTAGCGAGGAAGACTGGCGGACTGGGAGCAAAAGAACTAACTAGAGAGGTAAGAAGAGGGAAGGAAGAGGAATAGCAAGGAAAATTAACGGAGCAAGGGAACACAGACTGCATCTCGCTGTGAAATCCGAGGGTCCTTTCGAGGTGAGGGAAGAACGGGTCGACCTTGTGAATTCCTAGATCGATTTGTTTCTATTTAAGGTCACACTCGAGCTCAATGAATCGTCCTTTCGTCTCTCTGCGAGTGGAGCATTCCCTATTGGCGGAAGCTCTCGCGAAAATATGGTAAAAAATATAGAAAGAAATACGAATATGAACAAGTCTCGATTTTTTTATTATGTCTCGAGCTGCAAAACGGGAACCCAAGGTGTAATAGAGGCTCTTAGGAGAAGGGGGGGGGGGGGGGGGGCGGTCTCCTTCATCACGATGCTCCTATATGGGGTGACGAGAGAGAGAGGGAGGGGGTGGGAGAAAGGGAGAGGGAGAAGAAGGAGAAGGATAGGGAGAGGGAGAAGGAGATGGTGAGGGAGAAGGGGAAGGAGAGTTCGAGTTAGAGGGAGAGAAATAGTAAGAGAGAGAGAGAGAGAAAGAAAGAAAGAAAGAAAGAAGAATGAATGGAAGTGACACTCCGAACAGGACGTGCACACGTGTTCATCTGTATGATATATCTCTAAATACACATGCACATCGCAGAAAGAAAGCAAACCGCACACTCCATACGCCTCATACATTCCAAAGGAAAATAAACAATTTGGCCCCACATCCTGAACCAATCCACACGTATAAATCATGTTACAGTTACATCGTGTAGTTTTCAAGTCTGGGCGACTGTTGTGTCTGCGCTATCTTATCGTGTGTTGACAAATGAATAAAGGCACATTCCATCGTTATCCAATCAGAATAACGTGGCCTCGGGATATGCACGTCGTCCGCACGCCGTCAGGTATAAGGAAATTTATGGTGGTTTTGGGTGGTATTGGGTTGTCATTTTTTTGTGGGGCGTGAATGCAAGGGTTGAAATGTTTGAAGTGTGTGTGTGTGTGTGTGTGTGTGTGTGTGTGTGTGTGTGTGTGTGTGTGTGTGTGTGTGTGTGTGTGTGTGTGTTTGGACGGGTTGTTTTATGCTTGTGTTTTTTTCTGTGATTTTGGACGGGGTGTTTGTGTTTGTTTGTGTTTTTAGACGGGTGTTTCTGTTTCTGTGCTTTTATTTGTATTTGTCTGCGGGTATTTGTGTCTCTGTGTTGGTGCGTTTGTGCGTACACGTGTATGTGTGTGTGCACGCGAGTAGATGAATCCCCCGTGAGAAAAAGTCTAACCTTCTCTCTCTCTTTCCAGATCGCGCAGGCTGAGACCTAGAGGGCAAAGGTGAGTTTCGAAAACATTTACGATTGTATTTTAAAAAAGGAGACCCATTAAGCTGGAGTCGTGTTTATATCTTATTTATTTTTTTATTTTTTTTTTACTCCATGCTGGGAATCGTTACGAAAAATAACCGGATTTAGGGAGTGAAGTTAATAAAATCAGCTGGCATGCAAGTATAATCTGTTCTGAACTACGCAGCGGCATTAAAGATAACGGGAAATCTTTCGAGAGACGAAAAAAGAAAGAGGGAGGTGAGATAAAGGAAAGTGAAGAAGGAAGATAATAGAGAAAGAAATGAATGGACAGTGGACAGAAAAACAAGAAAACAAAAAAACAAAAAACAAAAAACACGGAAAAAAGACACAGCAAAGAAAATAAAGAAAGAGAAAGAAGGACTCTTAAAAGAAAAGAAAAAAAGGAAGAAGATAAACCACAACGAGATAAAAAGGAAAATTAAAAGAAAAGAAGAGAAAACAAGAGAAAGAAAAGAGAGTCCCCCAGAAGCACCAGAAGACTGACTATTTCTCTTCTCTTTTCTCCCTCTCTCTCCCATCCTCCCTCTCCCTCTCCGTCTCCCCTCTCCCTCTCTCCTCTTCTCTCCTCCTCCTCCTCTCGGATCGGTCGCTCTCAGATTCCTACACTAGGCCCCTCTCGCTTCCTTTCTTCTCTCGTCGGTCTCTTCTTCTCTCTCTTTTCTC